CGCTCCTATTTTTTTTCTTCTTTTTTTCTTTTAAATAAATATGAACAATTTTAAAAAAAATAAAAGAAAAATAAAATAATATAAATTTTTACATATAAATATTTATAATTTTGGTTTATATATATATATAAATAGTTTTTTAATTATATTATTAAGCGGGGCGGGGATGGGAGCGGGTATGGGGCGGGCCGGCGGGGGGGGGATTAATATCCTCGCCCCCGGCCCCGGCCCCGATTTTATCAGGAAAAACCCAAACCCGAACCCGAACCCGATAAACATGGGTTTTCCCCATCCAAATCGGGACGGGTACTCACAAGAGCGGGTTAGATTGCCATGCCTAGTTCCTACTCAAAAGTTAGGACAACAAGGAAAAATTGTCAAAACCAAAGGCTTCAATTTAACCTAAACTGTTGATTATGCATTCATGTTAGGACAAAGGGGTCAAATTCTTGCTCCAACTCTAGACGCCAAATATTCTCATTTTGTAGGTTTTATGGATATAGAAGCTGACTGTTATGTTTTGAAATTAATACTAACATGGTATTATATTATATGATTAGTAAATAATTATGTTCTTTGAACATGCAATTAAGACTTCAATACTTAAGTTTATATGTATAAAAAAACATTCATAAAAGAAGACCAATTCTTTAAATAAATATAAATATTTCATGGGATTGATCTCTCAATTGAAGAATCAAACCAAAAAAATCTTTCAGTAGAAGGATAATCTAAGTTTACCAAAAAGGAAATTCGTCAAATTTATCCATGCTCTTCTTTAGTAAAATGGGAAAGGAATGACCATACAAACGAACCACCAAATTAATATGATTTAATGAAAATTAATAAAAAACATTATACCACCTCTCAATTAATGGAGTATATATGAAGCTTTTCTAATTCAACAATTTTGGATTCGAAGATCAAAGATGCAAATTAAATTGGTCTTGCATGTTCTAGTTTTGTTGCACTTACAATCTTCTCTGGAATGTAAGGAAGGACCCTTGAAGCTATGATATTCCAAATTTGGCAAAATATCAACGTCGAATGCGTATCCGATACCAATATGTGTACGACACTTTTTGATACATTTGGAATAAGATTTTGATGTTTTGAATAAAACTAAAATTACATGCAATTATATCATTTTGTGGATGATATAGTTTTGATAGAGGAATCAAGGGAATGAATTAACATTAAGCTTAAACTTTGGAAATAGACTTCGGAAACAAAGGATTTTATTTTGTTTTAGTATGAGTCAGAAAGAGTAGGTGCATTGCAATTTTAGTAATAAAGAAAAGGAATATGACTTGGAAGTAAAAAGGGAGGATATGTCATATTACATGTTTCTGAGTTTGAATATCTAAGATCAATTATACAAAATGACGTAGAAATTAATAAAGATATTACACACAAGATACAAGTGAGGTGACTAAAATACAGAAAGATATTGTGATTTATTTGTAATCATAAAGTATCTTTAAAAAAAACCTTATTGTAAGAAAAATGATAGATAATCCGAAAGGATTATCCGAAAATCTTTCCAAATGTATAAAATATTAATTTAAATTATAAAATATTAATATTTTAATATTTCGAATCATGTTTCGGACATTGAATCGGAGAATGTATCATTTCTCTTATTGTAATATTATGTTTAACTATTCTATATGCAGTGCATGTTAGCCTGTCAGGTTTAAAAGGGACAACACGAGAGAAATATAAGAGTAACATAAATGAGAATGTCAATATGAATTTGTAGTTGTGTAGCACTCAGTGAGAAATATATGAAAAAATAATCGGTTCAAATGGTTTGGAATTATAGAAAGAACAAGAGACACTAGTTAAAAGAGTAAATTGCATGATATTTAATCATGTTAAAAGGAGAAGACCAAAAAGGATTTTGCAGGAAATCATCGAAAGAGGTTTTATGGTAAACCTTCAAACTTTAATTTCTATTGTGTGATCCATATATCCTACAACTCTGTTGTCGTATATCTTATTCTACGTATCATTTTAGCTGTAATAAGTAGTTAAGATTTAGAGGGAAAACTTCTTTTGCGTATTGGCATGGGTTGGGGAAAATTTTTGTAACGTCATAGGAAAAGGAAAAATATATGAAACTTTTCTTTTTTTCTTTTTACAACCACCAGTATTATTTTTGTAAATCGTAATCATCATCCATTGACATAGTTATGTATTATCAAAAAACAATCAAAATCTCTAAACAAATATCTACAACGTCTCGTATTTTAAATTCTCAGATGTTACCGTTTAACATTTTTTTTTGTATCCAAGTGCAGAAATGTGGGTTTGCTCCATATGTGCCGGGAATTTGTCCACACATTCACTGAATTTTTTTTAGTTAAATTATTATGCATTGGCACTAACTGCTTGTATTCAGGATTTCTCCAATCTCAAATCTTGCGCCTCAATAGTTTAGAATGATGTCATACATAATGCATATTCATTTCATTATCAATTGAATAATCAAATAATTATGAGGGCATGTCCATATTTACATATTAGGTTGCAGATGCAAAAATTGCAATGAAAATAGACATGACCTTCTATTCTAACTTCTAAGCATTAACCAATCACAGTTTGCTGTGACGGATGGTACTGTTTTACAGCAAGAGAATCATTAAGCGACAGAAACCTTCAATAATTCTTTGGCAATCTTAATGCATTCTGTCATGGGGCAATTTGTCTTAATTGCATTTGTTTCTATGTGAGACCTGCTGGCGGCATAACCCTTCTGCAAGAAACCAACATTGAAGCCTAGTAAATGTCTGGTTTTAATTTAAAGCATTACATGAAGTCGACATGAGCAATCAATGATTCCATTATCTCATTTATGATTTAAGCAAACTAAGTAATCAAACTGACAATGGTTAACATGATAAAGAAAAGGCAACACCTTTCGTTTTTTATTTTATTTTGGTACAGTGCACTAGGAAGACGATCAGTTTTAGTAAATTCGTAAAATTTTGTGCACTTACCTAAAAATGTGTTGTGGCATGTGAACAGCTGAATGTTATACCATAAATGATTTCATAGCTTAACATAGAAGTTTAATTTGTCTTATTTGAATATTCGATATACAAATGAAAAGATGATCTAGACATCATTGATCAATGCAATGATCAATAATCTTTTAACACAATTTTGAAAAGATCCAAGTTAAATTTGTTCCTAACAAAGATCTTCCACAGGAAGAATATGTAATCAATAAAGTACACAATTATGGCTTAATTCTTTTACCATATTAAAGCTTTTATGAAAAGTACCTGGTGCATGGCGCTCATCAAGGTCTTCAGAGGTGGAGAATTGATTTTTGCACGGCTTGCCATCTGAATAAATACATGAAAAACCACCATAAGCCATTGTTCTAATCAGAGTAAGCAACACTATTTTACAATGTAACAAAGATGTCATTTCAAAAAGAAGCACCTCATCCAACTTGATATACCCAAATGGCAACTTGGGATCACTTTCATCCACCATCACTTTTATAAGCTTTTCAAGGCTGTCTTTACCATCACAGCCTATCCATCCCCACTGCTTGGCCAGATTTAACATGTCCATAAGATAGGCACCATCATGAAGAGGTCCTGTCCAAAGAGGTCCTGACACCACCAGGGAGTTTGAAACCTGAAAAGGAAATGAGATACAAAGTAATTTAAGCATTCATAGGAAGTAACGTTTTTCTGTAATTTGAACTCCGCAAAATAAAACCACACAAAGATTACATAAAAGATTGAACAGTTTTCTTCATTCCTAAATCATTCATTACAACAATCGACAGAAATGGCAAAGAAAATACATGCGTGAATCCTAAATGAATCCAAAAGGGGGGTTCTTCATATCTTAGTTGTAATATTCTTGCAATTACCAAGTAAAAGCAGATCTAGGATGAAAAGGCAACGAATATACATGGAACTGATTATTTCTTTATGCGGTAACTGTTTAAATAAAAGTTTAGGATTAAAGATGCACAAGATGTCATATTAAACTGAGAAGGCATAATCTAGCAATATTCCTGAATAGCACAAAAACTCAGAAACATGGACAAACTACTATGATGAAGTCTCAAACAAACCAAGACCATACCTTTGGCGTACTGCAGGAGCAACTGATCTGACCAAGTTGGTCCCAAGAAAATTCATGGGAATTTCCACACTGGTGGCAATAGCCAATATAACCATAATGCCTATAATAATTTGATCAAGTAACAACATAGCAATTAAACGAGAACACACAAGAAAAGGTAACAAGATGTAACACAAACACAAGAAAAGTAACAACATATCAATGATAAATTACCTACTGTCATGAATCTTCCCACGGTTCAATCTGAGCAAGACTCGAAAAACAGGTCCATGAAAAGCATAGTAGGAGAACAAGGGAGTGATATGATACCCCAACAATGCAGCCTCCCTGGCAACCCCACCTATAAGCATTCTCAAACCAACCTCATTCGAATACGGCATAGGGCGCACATAAGCTCCATATGCAGCTAAAGAACTACAGAAAAGTATGTAGTTAACCAACTACCAACTGGTGACCCCAAATCCATTACAATAGAACATGCAAATATGCCTATTAACCAGACATCACAACCACCCCATGTAAGACACAGCCACAAAACAACATCAAATTCAAAATCATCCCAAGTATCCCACCAGCCAAGTAAGATAAACATTAATGACTAATTATGTGTTTAAATATTATTTCTTAAATGAGTTAGTAGTAAAATTCAAGAACAATTTTTTTTTGTCTAGAACATAGATATTCTCCATTGAAGGCAGTCCTGTTTGAGCTGAGTAACATTATTATAGACAACAAAGTTTTCTCTGAGTATTTAACACCATAGTATATTTATGACTCAAACTCGAACCTACCTGCTATGTTTTCTCTATGAGTATTTAACCCTAAACTCGAAACTACCTGTTAAGTTGGAACAATCTCTTATTGATTGATCCACTATTTGTCGATAGAACAAATTTTTTTATTCATCACAAAAACTACTTAAAGTTTCTTAAAAAATTAATCTTGAATTCGGAATCAATTTATCGACGAGGAACCAAATATGTGAAACTTTTTCCTAAAACCGCATTAGTTAATGAGATTATGAGTGGTCTATCATGAACCCAAACATTCACTACATTGTTCTTGGAATCTCACATAAACAAAAACCAGAAAAGAAAAAAAAAGAAGAAAAGAACAGAACAAATGAACAAATGAATTCTTACTGGTGAGGACGGTGTCCACCAGATGAGAAGCCATCAGTGGAAGTAACATAGAGCAAGCCACCCAATTTCAGAGTACAAATGGCAGACCTCAAAAAAGAAGAGTCACTCCCAAAAGAATCCACATCAATAAAATCAAAGAAACTTTTCTGCAAATAATAATCCATCATAACCCTATTAGCCTCCAAATGAGTAACCACCCACCTCCCATCCTCCACCCCCGAAACCCTCGACAAATTCTCCACAATGGTGCTTCCATACTCCTCGTTCCCATCATTCGCCGCCACAAAATCCGCCCCCGCCTCCGCCAGGTACCGGAGCGACCGAATTCCGCACCCACACAACGCATCCAAAATTCGCAACCTTCCGGTGTCCCTCTTGTGCAGCGACGCCGCCAGAACGCCGAGGTCTCGGCCGGTGGCGCTCTCTTGCCGGAAAAACGCGTCTCCGGTGCTAAACTCCAAACCCCTTTCGATGTGATAACCGCTCTCGCGGGCTTCCGGCGTAAAGGAGGGAACTTTAGAACCGACTGACTTAATTGAAGAGGAGTTATATGGAAAATAAGAACAAAGTGACGAAAGGGGTTGACAAACACAAGTGAGAGTAAATAACATAGCGAAAACTAAGACGGAAAGTAATGTGACTCTTTAAAGAGAAGTAATGAAAAAATGTTTAAGCCTGTGAATGGTCTACTTGTGTCAATAGAGTAACGCATGAAGTCAATGTATAGATGTGGTTTTCAGAGCCTAAGTGGTTTTACAATTTTATTTATTAATTTTTTTTAATATATAAGGGACAAAGATCCTTGTTACTGACACAAAAGAAGTATGAGTAGCTTCTAACAATGTGGGACATTCGTGTGGAAGATTTTGACCAAAGAGAGGGAGTTTCATTAATCGTTTAATTGGTCTGAAGTTGGCAATGAATTTACAGCTTGCAACCTGCTGCATCCAAGACAAAAGCTAGAAACTTTCTGAGTTGTTTTTTGTTTTTCTTTTTGGTAAAACTCTCTTTCCCTGAGTT